ATCCCAACATCAAATATCAACAGTAACAACAACAACAACAACAAAACAATTACTTTTGCAGTAACTGGTCATATCCTCACCATCCCTATAATTATAAGGAAGGGACTTAAGCTATTCCTGGGAGGTTTGGAGTCTTGGATAAATTTCAGATGCTATTGTGGGTTTGCTTTCGTTTGGGTCCGTCTGTTTTTTATTGCTTACTTTTGTAACACTAAAGTTTATGCTTTCTTTCTTTTTAAATATGTTTGTATGTATGATGAATGAATGCAAACAAAATACAATGGGGGAAAATAAGTATGATGAGCCATAGTCTTGTCCCCCACCACAACCCCCGTCTTCCTTTTGATTTATGTCCCCCACTGGCCTTGAACTTGCTATGAGCTGATGACCCTGACTCCTGGTCCTCTTGCCACCTGAGTGCTGGGATTCTAGGCTTCTGCCACCACACCTGATTTTCCAAAAGCATCTCATAGGATTCTGGTATTTAAAGGACACTCCAGGTGCCTTTGAGCAGTCTATACAGGTATCAATTATTGCAATGTTGGTTTTCCTACCCAGTAATATTTGGCACCGGTGTCTGTGTTATGATCTGAATGTCTCTATTCCCCCAGACACAGAAATCCTCACTCCCAAGGTTATTGAAAGGGTAGATGACAAATGCTTGGAATTCATATCCCTGGAAAAGAGACCATTACCACTTACACTTTATGAGGACCCAGCTCCCCCTGAGGGGCTGTGTGTGGGCAGCGGCCTGTCATCACAACCCAGACCTGTGCTAATCTTGGATTTCATGGTTCCAGAACACTGAAAAAATAAGTAATTTGGGACTTTGGGAGCACATTCCCCATGAAGAGATACTCCCTTAGCCTAGAGACAGGAGGGAGGGCCTAGTCCCTACTCCAAATGACTTGACAGATTTTGATGATCCCTCCTGGAAGGCATCATCCTGCCTGTGGAGTGGGGGGGGGTATGGGAGGAGGGAGGGAGGGAGAGGGAACTGGGATGGATGTGTAAAATAAGAAAAAATAATAAATAAAAAAATAAAATAAGTGCTGTGGTGGCACACATCAGCAAACGTACCACTAAGAAGTGTGATGCAGGAGGATTGTGAGTCTAAGGCCCAGGGTGCGGTGTTTAGTTGTAGCATATAAACACGTAGCACGGGTACACAGATATGCAAGCGATGCATGCACACACAGAGAGACAAGGGAGAGAGAATACAAAACAAAAAAAGAAAATTATCCATCCCAGGTAAAAACATTTGAGAGTAAAAAAGTTCAGGTCTATTTGTAAGGGCCCCTGCCAAGGTCAGAAACTGTATCCCCCACCCCCAAAACTAACTTCCAAGAGATACATGAGATGGCAAATGCCGAGGTCAGGCAAAGGCCAGAGGAAGAACTCCCCAGTTGGCCACCCAATCAATACCAATGGGTCAGCCCTAAGATCACACACGTACAGGCAACCTTACACAGACTGAGCAGCTGCGTTTATGTGTTTAGGGATATACATACCCGTATATATGCATGCACGCATGTAACCACCACTGAAGGAAAAAGAGGCCAGGAGTTTGAAAGGGTAGTTCATGAGAGAGATTGTGGGGGAAAGGGAAGAGTAATATGATTATATTATAATCTCAAAAATTACTATATTTTTAATAATAGTAAGATGGAGGTCACTAAACTAGACTGGAGGTCACTAAAGCTTTACTAGCTAAAGACACCCCCCCAAGAGAAAGATATATCTGTGTGTCCTCAATATCACTGAAAACTACTTTTAAAAAAAGGAAATAAAACTATTTTTAAAAATGAAACAAAATAGTAGCAAATGTGTCTAGCCCACGCAAAGAAGAAATCTCTCTGCGACCCTAATCCTCCCTATAGATACCCTATTTCAGGGCCCATGCTGTCCTGCCCTCTTCAGAGCCAAGCTTCCTCACCTACCCTGACCCCAGCCTTGCTTCCTCCCACTCTGCTCTCAAGCCAGCTCCTGCCCACCCTCAGCAGTCTTCAGATCGATCGTCACTAAATCCAGCAACTCTGTTTATTTTCTTGTGCTTTAATTTTACTGTCTTTTGGCTTGCCTCTGAGGCCCAAGGAAGCTTGGCCGTCTCCTCTCAATCCTCCTCCCCTTTCTCCCAGTTCTGAAGCAGCCTTGCTGCAGGGTTTCATTCCCTCTTCTTATCACTCAAACTTTGCACTTCAAGGAGATAGTGCCCCAGGCCTTACCGTCTTACTTTTCCTTTCCATGGCCTCATAATCTATGAGGTAGTGCTTAGGGCAAGTAAAAGGGAGCTTCTTCTCTAAAGTGATGAATTGCAAAGGAGTGGGGGGGGGGCTACTGGATATTAAAACGAGCTCCACGTACTTCCGAGCCTGGGACCCTGGGTGGCTTTCCAAAGCTGGCCCTGCTCCAGCCCACAACATCCTCTCTAAGATCAGCGGTTTGCAGCCTTTCCTAATGCTGTGTCCCTTTAATACAGTTCCTCATGCTGTAGTGACCCCAACCATAAAATTATTTTCATTGCCAGATGGCGGTGGCGACAAACCCTTCCAGTGCCAGGCCTTGGGAGACAGAGGTAGGTGGGTCTCTGTGAGTCCCAGACCAGCTTGGTCTACATACAAATTAAGTTCCTTGGCAGCTAGAGCTGTTACACAGAGAAACCCTGTCTTAAAAAAAAACCAAATCAATGAATAGTTTTCACTGCCACTTCATAACTGTAATTTTGCTGTTATGAATCTAGGATATCTGATATTCAACTCCTGTGAAAGGGTCATCCAATCCCAACGGGGTCGAGACCCGTAGGTTGGGAACTGCTGTTATAGGACTCAGGTTCAGAGGCATGCTCACACTCGACCCTGAGCCTGTGCATGGATCATTTGACCTCATGTGACAGAAGGAATTGTGTGTGGGGGCTGCCCCCTTAACCTGTGTACCTGTCATATCACATTATGTATCTTAACAATATATCTGTTGCAATGTTAATGAAATGTAAAAGCATGGGGCTGAAAATAGGTAACTCAGTAACATTAGAAAACAACCAGGCATGATGGCATACCTTCCTTTAATCTGGGCACTCAGAAGGTCGAGTCCGGCAGGTCTCTGTGACTTTGAGGCCAATTCAGCAAATTCTAGGGCTACATAGTAGTAAGCGGCTGTTATTCCAGCTGTACGGGATACCGAAGTGGGGGAAAGTGAAATTGGAGTTCAGCCTGTGCAACTTAATTAGACACCTTGTATGGAAAACATCATGAAGGGTAGAGGAGGGAATGGTATATAGCTCAGGGGAAGATGGTTTAACTAACATGCAGGAAGCCACAGGTTCAAACCCTACTGTCACCAACAAAACACTTCATCAACAGCAAGGTGTACGTGTGTGTATGTGTGTATGTGTGTGTGTGTGTGTGTGTGTGTAAGAGAGAGGGGGTTAAAGAGAGACAGAGATTGTGCAAATGAGACTTAGTAGTTGTCTTTCTCATTCTGGGTTGTTAACACAGTGACCTCCAGGTTCTACCCATTTCCTCAAAAATGACCGAATTGTACTTTTCTTCACGGTTGCACAAAACTCTGGGAATATACACCTCAGTTTCTTTATCCATTCATGCATCTGTTGATGGACATTTAGACAAATTCAGGTACCCCGGCTCCTGGGGGGGGGGGGATTGCAAGCATGTGGGCTGGCAGTTATGTGGCATGCGGCCTTAGATTCCTCCTGGTGGCTTTCAAGATGACCTCTCAGGATGCAGCAAAGTCACCTCTATCTGCTTCCCTGTGTGTCTGTGTCACACGTGGTCTCTGCTCACTCTGCCCCTCCCAGACCTCTGAGACCAAGTGTCTCTACGAACCCTCTGGAATTCTCTGTGTAGATGAAGATGGCCTGGAACTCATAGACATTCACCTGCCTCCACTCTGCCCAGCCTTGGCCTTTCTCATAATGTGCTCCCTCCTTCCTGGGCTCTGCAGGTTCCCAGTGGTCCTTCGGTGTGCAGCTCGGAGGGGCTTTCTTCTTAGATCTGTAACTGGATTTCCCCCACACCCTCTGAGTCTGCCCACTTTCTGTAGATTTTTGTCCTGAGCCACACCACACCTCAGGACGGCACACTCTTACCCCCACTGTTAGGATAAAGCCCGAGGGGGAACCTTGGCAATGGTGACCCCGAGGCGGAGGACAAACAAGCCAGGCAGACAGCGCTAAGTGAGTTTTATTAGAAAGGGAACGGGGTGGGGATAGTAAAGAGAGAAAAGGTAAAGAGACACAGAGACAGAGAGAGGACAGAAGAGAAGAGGGAGACAGGAAAAGTCCCGCAGGCCCCAAAGGAACAGAGGGAAGGCAGCATAAGTGGGCAGGGGTCTGTCTTTTAAAGGGTCCTTTACACCTGCCTGCAGACTGCAATCATGGAACCCTGGGCTGACCAGGGTACTGCCTGGGTGCATTCTGCCAGGTGACAGGGGCAGGATAGCATAATGCCTGAATCTTTATACAAACTGCCCCCCAACTCCCCACTCCAGCCGTGTCCCATCACCTTCAGGGGATGTTCCGAACACCAGTGTATTGTAGTTTTAGCCACAGACACAGGCACTCAGAGTAATGACTCTTCTCTGGAAGGTGGCTGAAACAGGTACATCGGTCTGGGGAACTCTCCGGTCTGGGGAACTCTCCGAGCTCTCTTTTTCCTTCTTTCCTTCCTTCCTGTCTCCATCCCCTCCTCAACACACACACACACACACACACACACACACACACACACACACACACACACACACACACACCAACCACTCCCCCAACAGCTGCAGTCTGGAAGAAATTACTTTTCTAAACAGCCAGACTTCCCTAGTTTCAGGAAATTCCAAGCTGGGAAAGGGGAGGGGCCGGGCTGGGGGCGCGTCCGTCCACCCCCCACCCCCCCCAGTTCTACCCCTGCTTCCAGCACGTCCAGTCCCGGTCTCCTCCTGCCCCCACAAGGGCTCTGAGCTTTTCCACCGCCCTGGCTTTCTCGTCCTTTAAATCCTGGAGGCAAACTTTGGGGGAATAAGGAAGCCTGGGAGGGGCCTAAAGCTTAACCCTCTCAACCCGGGACAAGAAACGGAGACCAACTGGGCTGACTGGGCGTTGACTCCCTCCGCGCTCGCCTGGTAGGCTACCATGGCCCCCGAGAGGGGCTGAAGCTCAGTTCCCGGTGCTGGTAAGAAGGAGCCACAAACAGGATTTGCCAGATTCTGGGATCTAATCTCATGGGTCTGAGGGAGGAGGGCAGTGGTCTGGATTCCCGTAAATGATAAAAGTGCAAGAAGCCTGGACCCCTGGAATGTGAGAGCGGAGAGCAGGGGAACTCCCAGCCTGTGAAATCAGAGGGGGTGAGGGTCCTGGAACCCAAGAGGGCAGGACCCAGCCGGAGGTGGTGGCACTCAGACGACATGCCTAGGTCCTGGAGCCCCTAACAGGCTGGGCATGGCGCTTGGTTTTTTGCCAGGCGAGATCCCGCCCGGAGAAAGAAGGAAAAAGACGCCAGTGAGGTAGCCTCCGAGGCCAGGAGGTAACACAGCTTGAGCCGGAGCCCAATTCAGTCAGGACCACGAGGTGAGGAGGCTGGGGTGGGCTGGGGTCTTCACCAGAGAGGGGGAAAAAGGAGACAGAACAGTTACCAAAAAGACCAGGGACTTTTAAGTTCCTGCAGCTTTAGGAAAATGGTTGTCAGTTCTAAGATCCCAGGGGTCTCCAGGTAGGGTTCCCTGCCAGATCTGGGCTCCTCCCTCCTCCTGCATGAGAACCAGTTGGGCCAGCTCCGGATCGGGATGTTATTTCCGTCCTGGCAGGGCTAGCTAGGGTTGAGAGGACAGAGGTGAACCAGGTGTGCCCCCTACCCCTTGCAGCTGGAGCCACGCAGTGCCTAGGCAGCAAAGATAATGGAAACGACCCGACGAGATCTATTTATCTGACAGTGTGTCTGTCCGGGCGGGCTGGGTCCCCTGTGTGTGCCTGCATCCAGTCTAGTTTGCATCGATCCCTAACAACAGCGCCTCTGTCAGAGCCCAGGCTGATTGATGACGAACTTTTTCCAAGAATGAGCGCATTGCCTTGAGTGTGACAGCCTTGCAACAAGCATATTCGAGCTCAGAGCAGAAGGACACCTAGGCTGAAGGGGAAAGCGACTTATTTCCTCAAGGTCTCAAAGCCAGCCAGGGCATTAAAATCTCCCTGTGCGTGCTGGAGAGACATGCATGCAGTGTGTTCATGCATGTATGCTAGGGGGTATGAGGGCCTAGGTCGGGTGTCCTGCTAGATTATTCTCCACGTTATTCTTGAGATTGGGGTGGGGAGGGGTTGTTATTCAAATCAGAGTTGAATAAGCCCCAGCTATCTTCCTGCCTCTGCCCTCTATAGCCCTTAGTTTAGAGCAATCAACCGTCTTTCCAGTTCACAGTGCTCTTTCGTTTTGTTCTTGAGACTGGGCCTCAGTCTGTCCTGTGTCGTGCTGGCTGTCCTGGGACTCTTCACAGACCAGGATGACCTCAGACTCACAAATCTCCACCCACCCCTGCCTTATAAACACTGGGATGAAAGGCACACTCTACCACGTCCACCTCCAAAAGCTGGTTTTGGTTGTGACCCTGGCCTCTAACAGTCGAGCCATCTTTCTAGCCCCACAAAAACAAAAACTCTAAAAAAAAAAAAAAACCCATATAGAATGGAAAAGAAAAGGCCAGATAAAGTACCAAAGAATACCAAGGAAAGCTCTGGCCTTTGTAACAAATCAAACCATTTTTCTTTTTCCCTCTCCACATGCTCCACCTCCTGTGAATGACTGTGAATGGTAATAGCTTCGTTACATTTTACACATCATCAGCCTATTCTAACATCAGCCTGTCTCTAACATTCAAACATTTGCTCCTGTGTGACCCAGGGCCAGTTACTGAATCTTTGTTTTTTCATCATTGGAAAAAAAAAAAAAAAAAAAAAAAACACTAAATTATCACCTTCCACTCCCTGGATTGTTCTGAGAACTCGATGAGTTTGTGTATCCTTTCAAGGCACCTGGACCAATGCTCAGCCCAGAGAAGGTGCTTGGGAAGTACAATGGGCTTGCATGTGTTGCCTGCTGTCACTTAACATACAGGGGCCTGACTCTCACTTTCCACGAATAAATCCAGCAAAAGGTTAGGGAAGCTGATCAGGGTCCCTCCCATAAGAAAGGGGCAAATTTCGAGCTCCAGTATATTTAATGTTACACATATGATTGTAGTTGAACCTAGTGATGCACACCTATAAACCCTGCTGCTAGGGAGTCTAGGCTGAGGCAGGAGGATCACAAGTCTGTCTTGTTAGAGAGTGAATTTAAAACCAATCTGGGAAAGTTAATGAGGTTTCATCTGAACCCCCCCTTTTTGGTTTTGTAAGACAGGGTTTCTCTGTGTACCCCCGGCTGACCTGAAACTTAATCTGTAGATCAGGCTGGCCTCAGCCTCAGAGATCTGTCTCCCAAGTTCTGGGATTAAAGGTGTGCAACACCACATTCCACTGATTTTGTTTTCTTTTAAAAGCTAATGATATAGCTCAATGGCAGAGTGTTTGCGTAGAATTCCTCCAGTGAGGTGTGGGAGCATGGCTCAGGTGGTAGAGTTCCTGCCTAGAGTCCTCCTCCATTGAGGGAGGTAGAATGCCTGCCTAGAATTCACCAATAAGGTAATAGGGGCATGGCTCAATAGTAGAATGCGGCCTAACACCCAGGGTGTTAGCTAACTCTAGGTTCTATCTTCAGCTGTCCCACAAAAAGGCGGTAGACCTCTATGTAGCATTTACTCAGTGAGCACCTACCGTTTTCTCTGCTAAGACGGAGAACTCTATTGGCACCCCACCTCACAGATGAGAAAACAAGGCCAGAAGGGTCACATTGCTTATCCAGCGCCACACAATGGCCCTAGCCAGATGCAAACCTAGGTAGCTGGTTTTCTAAGTTCTTTTTCACTTCTCACTGCAGAGCAAGAACTAAGATGGATGGCATCATTTGCAAACAGGGAGTATTTTTATGGTTGACAGTGGCTCGGTGTTCAGTAGTGAGTCAAATACAGCATTAAAACACAAAAAAAAAAAAAAAAAAAAAAAAAAGGAGGGGTTCAAAACAGGGAAAATCCGAGTGGCTGCTAAATTGTTAAGGCAAGTCTTGGTCCGTCAAAACTTTTGTTTTCGTTACAGTGGAGGGAGGGAGTAGTGGTTGTGTGTAAAAAATTTGTTTATTCACCTAGGTTAAGGGCAGAGAGGAATTGGTATAGCAAGGGTGGTTTCAGAGATAGGCAAGATGGCACAGGTTCCTATGCTCAGCACATGGGGAGGCTGAGGCAGGAGCATTGCCCTGAACTGGGGACCAGCCAGATCTGACTTGTAGGATGCTATCTCCAAAACAAACAGCAAAGGAATGTTCCCAAATCCAACAACAAGAAACACCATCCTGGTGTCTAGGCCTGTAATCACAGCTACTCTGGTTGCTGAGGCGGGATAAGGAAGTTCAAGGCCTGGGCTACAAAGTGAGTTCAAGGACAGTCTGGACAACTTAATAAGATCTTGTTCCGTAATGAAAATCAAAGACAGGTTTGGGAGAGGGGCATGGCAGTGTTGTAGCATGACTCAGACATTAGGAGCTCGGACTGCTCTCCCGGAGGACCTGGGTTTGATTCCCACACTTACACGACAACTCTCAGCCATCTGAAATTTCAGTTCCAAGGATTTGACACCTTCTTCTGGCTTCTGTGAGCACCAGGCATGCATGTGGTACACAGACATACATGTAGGCAAAACACACATACATATAAAAGAATTATTTTTTTCTTTTTAAAAAGAGAGCTGGGGATGAGCTGGGCAGTGGTGGCACACACCCTTAAGCCCAGCACACTGGAAGCAGAGGCAGGTGGATCTCTGTGAGTTCAAGGCCAGCCTGATCTACAGAGGGAATGCAAGGATAGCCAGGGCTGTTATGCAAAAAAACCTTGTCTCGGGGGAGGGAAGAGTTGGGGGGGGGAGGGAAGATTTGGGGGTGTAGCTCGATGTTAGAGCGCTTTCTAGCATTTATGAGATTCTAAGGTTCACTCCCTAGCAGAGCGGGAAACCTGGAAAGTGTGGAATTGTGTGCATGGATTCGATAGGCCTTAGACTTATTTTGAACACGTTTGGCTGTACTTTGTGTTCATAGTGCCGTTGATACTCCCCAGGGTGCTGAATGCTGGAAGAACAATGCTGGCTTCATTGCCTTCCTTCTACAGTTTTACCACCTCTAATCTTTGTTCCATAGTTGTTTGGGTGACACAGTCTTTTTCTCCCAACACTAGCACGACTGTATTAAAAGCATACTTCAAGTCACTGTTTCTGTGAGCTCTGCGGGGAATCGGCCATGTCATTTTGTCTGGTGTAGAGACAGGAAAACGAAAGACTAATCTGTGGAGGTTCAGTGAACTGGAAAGGGGTGTGGTTTTGATTGAAATAGAAAGAAGGGATTTCATAATAATAGCCGTGAGTGTTAAAAGTACAAAGTTGTCAGAGTACCTCCCACAATTTCCATGGAAAAAGACCAAGCTCCAGGATATGGGTTTCTATTTACCACCCAGTCAGGTGCAGTGGTTTAGCGATTGAACATCTGGTGTACAATTCACAAGCTGGCAGCTGCAAACATGTCATTCTTGCCGATATTTATTAGATTTATTCATTTATGAGTGTTTTGCCTTCATATGTGTGTGTACACCACACACATGCTTGGTGCCCATGGAGGTTAGAAGGACTCAGGTCCCCTGTAACTAATGGTAATGGATAGTTGTGAACCACCATGTGGGTGCTGGGAATGTGTAATTTTTTTTAAAAAAATTTACTTATTTATGTATGAGTGCTCCATCTGCATATACGCCTTTATGCCAGAAGAGGGTATCAGATCCCACTATAGATGTTTGTGAACCACCATGTGGCTGCTGGGAATTGAATTCAGGACCTCTGGAAAAGCAGCAGCAAGTCCTCTTAACCACTGGACCATCTCTCCAGCCCAGGAAATACGCGGTTTTTTTTTTTTTTTTTTTTTTTTTTTTTTTTTTTTTTTTTTTTTTTTTTGTACGCACATGTCTATGCAGTGCCTGCAGAGGCCAGCAGAGGGCATCAGACTGGAGTTGTAAACTGGGACTTGGGTACTTGGATCAGAACTTTCCTTTTCTGAAAGAGCAGCAATGCACTGTTAACCTCAGAGCTTTCTCTCCAGGCCCCTATTACTGCCAAGTTTTAACATATGAAGCATTTGCTTTTATTTGTGTTTCTCAAAATGAGATGCTATACCCTAGGTCGTTCGTCTCCCAAAGCACATCATAACTGTGAATATTCTGTGTAAATTCACAATTTCCCTAGACCACCCATGAGAATCTTCATGTGGTCTGTGCAGCGAATTTTGCACATGCTCTATAGAGCCTTCCTGGTCCACTTCTTCAGTGTGTTTGGAGGGAAGGGCGCTTGAGCATGTGCGGTTGGTCCTGAACCTGTTTCCTGGGGTCTGCTCTGTCTTCGAGGATGGGCGCTGGTAATCTTCATCTGTTCTTCAAATATATTTTGGGTGGTGAGCCTAGCCTTTAACGGCCAAGCTGTGAGTCTAGCTCCCCGGCCCTATTTTTCATATATTGCTAATGCTAACTGGAGTTTTTTTGTTTTTTGTTTTTGGTTTTTTTTTGTTTGTTTGTTTTGTTTTTTCCTAGCTTGGTTGGGAAGCACTCCGAAAGTGATTATTTTTGGTACTTACCCTCCAGAAGGCTCAAATATTAGTTATTGGGATGACCCACATAGCGTAATGGTCGTGGCTGTGTTAGACTCAGGAAAACTTAAATATGCTATTTGAGATTTGAGTCCAGCAGTAGTGACCTTGGGAACGTCTCACAGACTCGATTTTCTCACTTGTGAACTGAGAATGATAGTCCCACAACAGGCCTGCCTAATTAGAGCATCCTTGTGACTGACTAGGTAGGTCTGGGTTATATAGAGTTGGGACTCCAGGGTGAGGCAGCTCTGATATGCCCGTACCGCCACAGATGCCCGTGTTGAAGCAGATGGGCCCTGTGCAGCCCAAGAAGCGGCTGGAGCGCGGAGCCCTGTCCATCTCAGCGCCCCTTGGAGACTTCAGGCACACATTGCACGTGGGGCGCGGTGGCGACGCCTTCGGGGACACCTCGTTCCTGAGTCGCCACGGGGGCGGGGGCGGGCCGCCCCCGGAGCCCCGTGCACCTGGAGCCCTGCATTCTCTTCCTCCACCTGAAGTCTCACAGCCCCCTGCACCTGGTCTCCGCGTGCCCTCACCTGCCGACCCGCTACTCTCCTTCCACCTGGACCTGGGCCCCTCTATGCTGGACGCGGTGCTAGGCGTCATGGACGCGGAGCGTGAGGAGGCAAAGGCCACCAAGCCCATCGGGGACGTCCCCCCTGGAATGCAGCATCAGAAGGCCCACTGCCGCTCCAATGCTGACCTCCAGCTGGACGATGCCATCGGCTTGTAGTGTCCTGCCTGTACCCCTCCCTCCCCACATCCCACTTTTTTACACATAAATGGTCGAGGTTTGCGCAGGGGGCTGTGTCTGTTCACTTTATACAGGAAGGGTTGCAGAGGCAGGACAGTGGTGGGGTGCCTCCAACTAAAAGCCTAGACTGTCATTAGTGGTGTTCCTTTAATAAGATTTTGATGGTGTAGCCTTGCAATGAATGCCCCTCTCAAATGGTGGCGTCTCACACCTGGCTACTCCCACACACGAATTCATTCTTCAGATATTGACCCAGCCTCACTGACAACCTGGATGAAGTCCAGCCCCCAGGGCTTGCTTAGTAACATTTGCCTTGAAGAGTCCCAGATGCCTGGCCCTCCACAAACCTCCCCAGGAGAACTCTGGACAGCCGGCGTCGCTCTTTCCTGGGAGCGGCTGCAAAGGAAGTGATTAGGGGACCTTTGGAGCCCCGAGGGGTGTGGTCCCCATAGGGAGGGCTTCTGGTCCTACCAACTGCGTGTCGCCATGAACCATGGCTGTTGCGTCACAAATCTGGGCACAAAGTTAAGCCCGAGCCCACAGATGTCCAGATGTTTTAACACATCAGAGGCGCGGGGCTCCCTATGCTTGTACCGTGGCCTGCAGGTGGAGCCAGATTCTAGAAGGTTCCCAGAGGGGAGGGTAGATCTTAGAGGTCCCTGGAGGGGCAAGACCAACTTAAATTAACCGGACCGGAGGCAGAGTAAGGTCTTTTGAAGTTTCCAGAGGGGTGGGTCGTACGTGTCTACTCCTAGATCGGGGACAGGAGCAAGACCCGTACCCCACAACCAGGCTCAGGTAAAACTATTGAACCCTGGAGAGGCCAGGGTAAGGCCAACGAGAGGTGGGGCTTATGTAAATCGAGTGGGTTGGGACCAAACTAAGCCACACTCGCAGGAAAGACAGGGCGGGGCACTTATAAATAACTTGGCATGCATGGGGCAGGACCAGGAATCACTTTGCTCATAGTGAGGTATGGTATGTAAGTCAATCCGTGGTATGGGGATTACAAACCTTAAGGACGGTCGGGGGCGGCGCCAGGGCACCTGAACCACCCCGACCCCCGACACAAGCAAAGGGCTGTGTACATGTAAATCATTTGCTGCGCGGTGGGGGGGGGGGAGGAGGGGCAGGCTCCCTAGAGGTCCCAAGGGAGGCGCTGGGCACAGCCAAGTATTTGGTTGCGCCGAGCCCGGATCTCTAAGCTCCACCCCCTCCTCAGGGGTGAAATAAACGTAGATCAGCTGAGTGGAGCGAGGAGGACTTGCTCCGATGCTCCCTTGATGGCCTGGAAAGCGGCGTAGTTCGCGTAAAGTATTTGCATTGCGGTGCAAACTGCCTTCGCCAAACCCAGTAAGGGAGGCGCACATATGAAGGAGTTGGATATAAAGTATAGAGTTCCTGAGAGGATCTGGACAACACTAGTTAATTGGCTGGTTGGGCGGGGCTAGGCCCTCTAAGTTCCCTGAGGGGCGGGACACGTGTAGATCATTTCGGGCGGGGCAGGAGCCTAGGTTCCGGGTGGCTCCGAGGCCGGAGCGCCTGAGCCGGTGGGACACCCCGAGGTCGCGCCCTCCTCCAGGCAGGGCTGGCGGGGCTCCTGGCGTCACAGTTGGGGCTCAACGCTGTGGCCAGAGGCTGCCCTGGGTGCTGCGGTCCCCATGGAGGCCACGGCCGCTTCCTCTGGGGCCCCCTCGGCCTGCCGCTTCTTCCTGGAGGGCCGCTGTCGCTTCGGCTCCCGCTGCCGCCAGCTCCATCCCGGGGCCCCAGAGCCAAGCCCCGAGGTCGCGCGGCCGCAGGCTGGGGCCAAGAAGCCGGCGCTGCGCACCGCGGCCGACGTCATCCGGCGCATCCGCTGGGACCCGCGCCTGGACCCCGCGGACTTCTCGGTGGGCTACACCGACCGCTTCCTGGGCGTGCAGGAGGAGCCCTTCTGCGCCTTCTGCTGGGATGCGCCCCTGGCAGCGCTCGGGCCCGGCGTGCTGGCGGTGCCGCAGCACCGCATCCGCTACTTCCGCTTCCGCGGCCGCCTGGTGTGGGACCGCGACTCTCGAACTGACCTCGTTTTTGGCTCCGGCTCCGTGGCTGGACGGGGACCCACCATCCTCGACGCGCTGGACGGCGGCGGGGGCGAGTACTGGCCAGAGGCTGCGCTGCAAATCCCTGACGCCGAGAAGACGGGGGCGGCTGCCGAGGGTCAGGACGCCCAGGATGCCTCTAGGGAAGGGGGTGGGAACCCGGCGAGAACCGGGCTTGATTCGGGCCTGGAGGCACCGGGAGAGGGTGGGGCAACCAAAGAGGACAGAACCGGGCTAGATTCGGGCCTGCAGACGCCGGAAGAGGGTGGGGCAACCGGACACATCGTCCTGAATAGCAGCACCGCTGAGTCAAGCGCTCCAGCCACCCTGGTTCCACAGTGGCAGGCGCAGGCCATGGAAGCTCCAGGACTTTCTGCTCAAGAGGTGGAAACTGAGTGGGATCCGGGGGTTTGGCCCGATGAAAGGTCCCCTCGCCAGCCCCGCCCCACACATTTTGTGGCACTGATGGTGACAGATCCTGGGCTTAGGGGAGAAGTGGCCAAGGCCCAAGAGCATCTGGTCCGGACTGCCCCGTCCTGTGCTGCCTCCCTGGTGCCTGCACAGGCCTTGCACCTGACAATGGCCTTGCTGCGGCTGGCAGGCCCTGGGGAGGAGGCTGCGGCGGCTGGAGCTCTGCGGAGGGCCCTCTTGAAGCCAGGGCTTGAGGCACCCTCACAGCTTCAGTTCAAGGACTTGGTTCTTTTGGGCCATCATGTGCTGTGTGCCACCCCCTCCCCCACATTGGCAGGCATGGCCCAAACTCTGAATCAGAGGCTGGAGGATGAAGGGCTGAGGGTGGTGCGGCCCCCGGAGGGGCTACAGCCACACCTCACCCTGGCCAAGGTGCCGCGTGGATCCCAGGTTCGCATCCCTGAACCTGGGTTCGTCTTGAACGGGGAGCTAGGCAGGCAGGCCCTAGGGAAACTCTGGCTGTGCCGTGTGGGTAGAGCAGGGCACAACTACCTGCCCCTGGCGGAGATTCCTCTAAAGTGATCAAGAAGAAAAACGCCAAATGGAAACAAGTTCTCTCTCTCTCTCTAATTTTGGTTTCAAGCTTCCAAAATGTACTCAATGGTCAAGGAGAACGAGGGGAGGGGAGGGGAGAGGTAGGGAGGGGAGGCGGGGAGGCATCTGGAAAGAAGCAGCCTGACAGTCCAGCTGTTTGCAACCTCAGCACATCCTCCAGTTACATGGCAGAAGAGGGGAGGGGTCAAAAGAAAAGGGGAGAAAGCAGAAAAATAACTTAAAACACACACACAGAGAGAGAAGGAAACATGACGTGAGCTGGTGATCCATGAAGGCAGAGGGGAGGGAGGAGGAGGGGAGGGCAACCATTTTTACCTGTGTTGAACCAGGGAGCAGGGAGGGAAGAGGAGGAAGAGGGAGGGGAGGGAAAAAAAATCAGAGGAAACATTGGGGCAGAGGGAGGAAGGGACACGGAGACAACTTAATACAACTTTAGTAAGACGAGGCAGCCCGGCCGGCATGGTCCCGCGAAGGCCTTGGAGTCCTCAGTGCGGGGTGGCGCTGGTCTGGCTGTGTTGGTGGTGCTGGCTGGCGTTTCTAGGGTGAGGGGTCGAAAGTGGGGCGCAGTCTCTAAGCAGCTCCCCTCACCCTAAACACTGAGGCCCCAAAGGCTGGGCAGCAAGAGTCTATGAAGAAAGGCAGACGAGGCAATAGGCGTGGCTGGCTGGTGCCCCGCTGCGCTGCAGGCGGGCGCGGGCTGGACGGCCTGTCTTCTTTCTGCTGGCCCCCCAGCATGGGATGGGCCAGCACGCAGGGTCAGGTGCTGGAGTACGAGCTCGAAAGAGAGAGAGAGAAAACACTGAGACAGCATTAGTGGAGGGAGGTGAGAGGTGGACACAGACCGTAGCCCACCCCACCCTCCTCCACTATACTCCCGATTACCCCTCTGAGACAAAAAATAAAAACGTAGAAAAATCTCTGTACAGATCCCCGGTGGGAAACGGGGGTAGGGATGCTGGCTCTTCCTGGAGCCCACTCCCCAAATTAATTTACAACCCATGTCCATGGCTCAAAAACAAAATCCGCAAAGGCGGCGCTGGGCCACTGCCCTAACCCCGCCCGTGCTTGATGGGTGCTCAGAAGGCTGGCAGCTGCGCCAGGCTGAGGCGGCAGTCCACGCTGGAGTTGTCCGGGCCCGTGTAGGACAGGCCCAAGGGCTCTAGGAAGGCCCGGCAGGCGGCCTCGCCCTCGAAGGCCAGCTCGGCCTGCAGGTAGGAGACGGGCAGCGCAGGGCGGAAGCTATGGAGACAAGAGGAGAAGATGATGAGGCGAGCAGACAGGCGAGGGCCCAAGAGCAGGGAACAGTGCTCCCCATCTGGGCTCCCAGAGTTTTCCTCAGCAAGGAAACTGCTGGCTTCTGCAGCCCCTCCCAACCCCCCATGTTAGGGGCTTGGGGGGGCCAGGGGTGGGGTTGGTAGCCCCAGTGCCCAGTTGCCCCCCCTTGCCCACACTTACCTGTCCAGGAAGGAGGGGGCAGGAGGGAAAGGGCCCAGCTGGCTCCTCTGCTGGCTGAGGGGCTGGAGCCAGACAGAGTAAGTGATACAGGGCTCAGGATAGGGACAGTGGTGCCCCACCCTCCAGAATGTTTGCATAGAGTGCCTTCTGCTTGGTACTAAGATGCCCTAAGTGTGTACATGTCCTACTAGTTCTGGTGACCCTCGCCTGCAGGCCACCACAGCCCTTTAGACACTCACTGGAACCCAGGCATCTTATGGCTCTGGGACAGGGCAGCATCCCTGTGGCCATGGCAGGGACTTGTCTGCCAAGAATGGCACTTATGAACAAGGTTAACACGGGCCAGAGCCCTGAGCACTCACAAAGCTGACTAGGATAGAGTTAAGAATCACTTGCACCACTGAGGCCTACAGAACCACAAAAGGCTCATCATCTCCATCAAATCTGGAGCCATATCCCCGAAGCCCCTGCCTTGGGATGGACTGACCAACAGGCTGCAGGTCCCACCTTCACAGGGTCCTCGCCTTAATGAAAGAATACTGCTGCTTAGCCTGGCATGCAATGCCCTTCCAGACTCCTGACAGATCTCTTGGCCAAGGTTTCTCACCCTCAGAAGGACTGGCACATACTGCCATGGGACTTTCTGTTGCTCAGCATCCCTGGTTTCTCTACCCACTAGATGGCAGCAGCATCCACACCCATGTGACAAGCAAAGATGGGGGGGGGGCAGCACACCTCTTCCCCACATGGGCAAGCCTCATGCAGTCTGCGGGCCAGAGGGCCTTGCAACACTACCCTCCCTGCCACAGGTCCCTATCACACTGTCCCAGAAGACTTCTGACACTTGACAGTGGAAAGGCCTCATCTCAAGAGACTCCTAGCAATATGTATGAGGCAGGCTACCCTTTCTAACATGTCAGGAAGAAGCAGCAAGGAGCTTCAGGCAAAAGCCCAGAAAGAGGAAGATAAACCAGGTTCCACACTGATGTGAACGGAGGGAGCGAATGCGGGGAAGAGGACATGACACCAGGAACAGTGACTTAAGAACAGGGAGAGAAACTGAAGAGTGGCTGAGGAAGGAGGAAAGCAAGCAGGGTCAGAGGGTGAAGAGGGTCTGGGAGGGGACTCCAGCAGAGCAGCTGAAGGCTGACCAGGATGTGGAGGGGGCGTGGCAGAGCCACGGCACAGAAGGCAGCAGGGTGCAGTCCCACATACGTTTTGATCATGGCCTTGAGGGCAGCCTTGCGCTCCCGGTCTGCAAACTTGTCCACAAGGTAGCCAGACATACAGGGTGCATGGCAATAGAGCCGGAAGAAGCGGTGGTAGTTGCCTAGGGCCCAGGCTGCCCTCAGTGCCAATGCATGGGACACACAGGGGTCTGCCTTCAGCTCCTTCGTGAGGTACGCCAGCTCCGTCGTGATGTCTGCACAGGAGATAAATGAAGGTCAAGGTCAGGTGGCAGGGTACAATCCTAGCCTGGCACCCTCCATCTTGGGACTGGCCCCTCACCTCCAGAGTTCTTGGTGAAGATGTAGTAGAGGATTCGGTACGCAGTAAATTCACCCACATTGCCTGCCAAATTTTCCGCATACAACGACTTGAGCTGTGTCTGGCACTGGTTGAATTCTTCATGGTCACCCTGAGGTTAGGTAGGGCGTGGAGGGAGGGAGGGGTGTGAGGAGCAGGCAAGTACGGGAGGTTTCAAGAGAGAAGTGGGAGGCCCGGGCAGCTGCGAAGCTCCCTTACCTTCTCCAAGGCAATGCGTGCATGTGTCTCGTACACCTCCACAGTGAACTCAGTGCGGACGCCTTGCACCTGGGCAGTGGCAAAGAGCAGAGTCAGGCAGGGCAGAGCAGAGCAGAGCAGCATGGCCCCGCCGGAGCCCTCTCAGCATCTATGTGCTTACCGTCAGGTCCTGCCGAATGGACTTCATCTGCTCACAGGCAAAGGCATAGTCCTGCTTCTCCTTCCAGTGGGACTTGACCATGCACAGAGACTTCTTCAAAACCTGCAGGCAACAGAATCGAGGCGGAGTAGTGTAGAGAGCGGGCTGACAGGACGAGCAAAGCCACTGTGTCGCTAGCTGCTCAAAGAGAGCTCAACACAGCCTGTTCCTGTTACCAGTGACTCGCCACTGCTGGGGCTCACAGCAAGACTGAGGCCCTACAACCTCCCGCTGACACAGTGCTGTGCCACCCTGAAGGACAGCAATGCTGCCTTCCCAAGGCCGCCTGTGCCAGGCTATGCCCTGAGTGCAAGGAGCCAGAGCTGCCACCTCAGACATCCCACTTAGCTCCCTGGCCTAGCGCTAACACATCCTGGCGGCAGACTTACAGCCACAGGCCGCACGGTTGATGGGTCCGGGGCGCAGGTCAGCCGTAGATAGTGCTTTGTGATGTCAGGACAGGTGCCCACAATCTGCAGCTCCTGCCAGTCGGGATCAGCTCCACCGCTTTCCAGGTTACTCATCTGCAGCACCAAAGGTTCAAGGCGCAGGCGGCGTGAGTGGCCGTGCTGGAAGCGGGCTGCCCTCTTCTGCTTCTTCAGCTCACGCTCTGGGTCCTCACACTCCAGTGCTGCCATCTTCTTGCGGCTGCGTTTGGTGGGAGCTAGGTCATGTCTGGGGAGGGAGGGTAGAGAACGCCAATGTAGTCAGCCCCACTGAAGGCTATCCACTTCACCTGTGAGACCCAATAAACTCCACTTGTAGCTAGGAAGAAACCCCGCCCAAAGCCTCACCTCTTCCCACGCTGCGCCCTGCCTCGGCCCCGATCCATGTGGGCCCCACGACCACCCCGACCCTTGGGGGGTGGGTTCCTGCGGCCTACAGGATGACACTCATTCCCTGAGTAGGAGCTGTCAGAGTCTGAGTGGGAGTCACTGAATAAGAAAACAGAAACGTCAGGGCTGAAGCACAGGGATAGGACTCGCCCCTCCCAGACACCCTCCAGCACGAGCCTGCACACCTTCTCCGAAAGTGACGAGTGGGGGACCTGGATGAAGAGCGGGAGCGCGAGTCTGTGCTGGAGGAAGAGCTGTTGTCCTTCATGAAGACGTTGCGGTTGCCGAACTTGGTGAAGCTGCTACCCCGGGCTCGACCAGCACCCCCAGCCCCAGGTGTCCCTCGCTGGGATTGGGCACCCCCGCCCCTGGTCACAGAGCCTGCCCCCCTGGGAGGGTGAAGGCTGCTAGGGGCCTCCCACCGCTTCTTCTTGGGGCTCTCAGCCACAGGCTCCCTGGTCAGCCTGAGGATATAGCAGAGCAGGGCATCACCAACCAGCCTCCAACCTGCAGGACTGCAGACCCCACCCAGTGGCCCAGGGCCACAAAACCTCACATCTCAAGGAGAGGCACTTACCCCGGCAACTCAGCCACCGTGGAGCAGGAAAGGGACCAAGCCCAAGGCTGTCTGTGTCCAGGGGATGCTCTGAGCCATCAAGCCACCCGCACTTCCCCAGCAAGCCCTGCAGCTCCCAACACCCTATCCTGGGCCTTCTACCCACCCCACAGCGCCCCACAGAGCCATGGGCTTTCTGGCTCATTTCTCTCTGAAGCTGCTGGGTTTTGCACCCCAAGTGCCCAGCCCACACCCAGCAGCCCCACT